CAGAAAGTAAAATGAAATGTATATCTGCCTGTCCATGTCTTTCACAAGTTTAAATGAAATTGGATATAATAAATTATGCATATTTGATGTGCTGTCCGGGGGAGACACTGTAAAAAAATATTGATGGTTTAACTTAAAAAAGTTGCCTTAAAATTTTAAGTTCATTGAACTGGAAAGAGTGAGTTAATACAATGAAGGAGATTAATTTAACCATCAGAAACTCAAAATTGTATGTCATCTGAACTAAATAAATTATTTAAGTTGATTTGACAAAAGAAAAAATGTTGTGATTACTACACTGTAAAAAAAATATTGTTGGTTTAACTTAAAAAAGTAAGTAACCTGGGTTGCTTTACAATTTTAAGTTGATTGAACTGGAAAAAGTGAGTTAATACAATGAAGGAGATTAATTTAACCATCAGAAACTCAAAATAATAAGTTATCTCAACTAAATAAATTATTATAAAGTTGATTTGACAAAAGAAAATATGTTGTGATAACAAGTCTTGAAAATTGTATTTTTTACAGTGTGAACTAACATGAACAAACAATGAACAGCTAGATTAACTAACATTAATAAAGATTATAAAATAGTGCAACGTATGGATTTCTCATTCTTGGTTCATGTTAGTTACATAAACTATAGTTAGTTAGTTAGTTAGGTACTACTGTTAACAAATGAGACCTTATTGTAAAGTGTTACCACTTGTTGGTTGGATTACCTAAACGTGCTCCTCCTGAACTTTGTTAAATAAACTTCCTCAAGATTATATTGAGTGCTTATATGATCAAATTTCCGGGGCATTCCTACATTCCTAAACATTCCTAAAACGCATGATCTATCATATTTGATACTCACGTTTTAACGTGCTTTTCTTAAAAAATGATGTATCAGTCCAGTAATTGTTCATCTTGAATTATTACTAACAATAAGAAATTTTCTTACGCGTCCTTTATATGGAGACCCTAAAGGGACATGATGATGGAAAAAATATGAGATGGTTGGAAAATATATATTGTGTATATATTTCAACGCAAATTTGGGCTTAGAAAAGAGGGTTAAAAATAGCAATGTCGTTATAACAGCATTGTAGAATATAGGCACTAGATATGATGGAAAGTTTATTAAAGAATTCACCTTCATTAAGCATTTTGACTGGTCATTATTGATTTCAATTATTCAGTTCATATTCAATCAGCGTGCAAAGCCTAATGATCCCATATTAACACAATACGCTTAATAAGATGTTTCAGAATGTAACAATTTAATCAGTTGACTGTCTTCATCACTCTATCTGCATGACACCTGTTTTCCTCTATTAATAAGTGGACGTTCAGTGCCAATTGTTTCGCATTAAACAACTCTCAGGGAACATTGTGTTTCTCAAAGAGCATCAAACAGCTTTATTTCGATTAGCTCATTAGACATTCAACCACTTTTTTTTTTAGAGCAAAATATATGAGGCATTTCAGCAGTTTCATCATGGGTAGCTGCAATGCTGTAATTTTTACAACCCTTGTTTAAAGACAGAGAGGGTCGTTGTGCCTTAAAAGCAAGTGATGTATGACTGTTTTATCACATTTAACTTGCTCCAGTGCCTTAACGAATTGAACTATGCCCCGGGGAAACAGTCAAGCTAATTCCTCACCCTCTTATTATTAATATCACCTCAGCTGCCGTATTTTTTTTTTCTTTCTTTTATCGTTTAGTGGGTGCTGGATTCTAGCAGTGTTCATTCCAAACTCCAAACCTCAGAGGTCATTATCAATCCTGTTTCCCTCTCCTCCTCCAACCCAAGGATACGGCCTGACTTGCGTAGACTAAACAGATGGCTGTGCACCATCCAAGATGACAGCCCATCAGAGCAGATGGCAATCTAAAGGGCACCAACCTCAAGATCCACACAGTGAGAGAGAGCATGCTGTCACCAGAGCAAGATGTTTCACATGATGCACACTAGCATCTCTGTACTGCAAATGACTGTGCTTTTGTTAACAGAGAACAACTCATTCGTAATGTGTCACGGGCAGCGTCACACCCGCAGAAGACATCAGTCATCAAACGGCTGAGGTTAGAGGTTCATTTACATGGGTCATTCCTGATATGCAGAACCTAAAAAAGACTTGAACACAACATTTTGATTCGAAAAAGGCTGGAATGTTTCTAAATAAAAGAAAACATTTTTGCAACTACATGTCAACGTGTTCTACTGACCTTAACCACGTCAAATTTATTGTCACGGCCGCCTCGCAAGCCGTGACAACGAAGGAGACAACACGTTGGATACTTGCTCAAAAGAATAACATTTATTAAAGTAAGAATAATTAAATAAAACAAGGACAAAACGGAAAACAACAATAAAGACTTCAAAACGCAAATGGCATGAGGATGGAAGAGCACGCCCCGTCACAGCTGAAAGGAACTGCTTTTAACTGCCGGCATCAGCTCCAACACAGGTGCAACTCCTCAGTCAATGACGTCACTCACTCCAATTCCCTCCTGTAAACCAAACAGAAAGAACACACACACAACACCCAAATATAACCCATACTGGGTTCATAACACCCTCCCCTTAGAAAAGGGTTTACCTTAAAAAACCCAACCTAAACCCTTCACCCGATACTCCGCACATTACTGTATAACACCAACTTCATCTTACCCCCAATTGTCCTCAGCAACCACGAACCTTTGTAGAAGCAATTTAAGAGAGTAAAAGGAAAGCAAGACAAAGCCTTGTTCATAAACAGTTAGAAAGAGTGAGGAACTCTAGACAATGCGTCTGCCACCACATTGTCAGTACCTTTGATGTGTCGAATTTCAAGGGCGTAGGACTGCAGGAAGAGGCACCAACGAGTCAAACGCTGATTTGGGCACCGCAAAGAGTGTAAATAAGTAAGTGGGTTGTGGTCAGTATATACGACCAAAGAATCTGACACGGATCCCACATACACTTCGAAATGATGCAGGGCCCAAATCAGCGCTAAGGCCTCTTTCTCAATTACTGAATAATTCAACTGATAAGAGGAAAACTTCTTCGAAAAATAACTCACAGAACGGGGAATCCCCTCATCGTCAGCTTGTAACAGTACAGCTCCCGCCCCTACGTTGCTAGCATCCACACACAACCTAAAAGGGCGATCAAATTTAGGAGCCGCTAACACAGGAGCAGAGGTAAGCAATGATTTAGCTGACTCAAAAGCTTCCTGACAGACCGAAGTCCAGATAAAATCAGCTTTGGCCTTCAGCAAATCAGTGAGTGGGGCTACCACCGTGGAAAAATTCCTACAAAATCCCCGGTAGTAACCCACTAACCCCAAAAAACGCATCAATTCCTTTTTGGTGGAAGGAGAAGGAAAAAGATCAATGGCCTCAACCTTGGCCCGAACTGGACGAACACAACCCTGTCCAACGACCTTACCCAAATAAGTCACAGTAGCCTTGGCAAACTCACATTTGGCTAAATTGACGGTCAAACCAGCCTCAACAAAACGGGAGAACAGATGTGCTATATGACTCATGTGCTGCTCCCATGAATCACTAAAAACCACCACATCATCTAAATAAACCGCGACTCCCTCCAATCCAGAAACGACCCTATTCATAAGTCGCTGAAACGTTGCAGGCGCATTTCTGAGACCAAAACTCATAACATTATAAGAAAATAGCCCCTCAGATGTAATAAAGGAAGAGATCTCCTGAGCCCTTGGGGTCAACGGAACCTGCCAATAACCCTTGAGCAGATCGAACTTACTCACAAATTTTGCTGCCCCAACCCGATCAACACAATCCTCAAGACGAGGAAGTGGAAAGGAGTCTGGTTTCGTCACTTTATTTACCTTCCTATAATCGGTACAAAACCGGTAAGTTCCATCAGATTTACTTACAAGCAAGCAGGGGGATGCCCAGCTGGAAAATGATGGCCGTGCAATGTCATGATCCAGCATATATTGAACTTCAGCGGCCAGATGTAAGAATTTATTTGGGGACACACGATAAAAATGCTGGCGAATGGGCACAGCATCCCCAACATCTATATCGTGCACTGCCCAATGTGTACATGAAGGTACATCACCAAATAGAGAGTCGTGATGATTAATAAGAGCAATCAAGTCGGTACATTCACTCTCTGTTAAATGGATCAACATTTTATGCAAATTTTTCAGAGTCTCCGAATTTTTAAGATGTCCCAACAACACCGTATCCTCAGGAAAAGAAACCCCATCATCAACTTCTCCCTCCAAAGGAACAGGTGAAGTACTCTCAACTACCAGTGCAGGTTTCACATCTGCTCTGGTCTCTAATGCTTTAGGAGAACGACAATAATAGGGCTTCAGCAAATTAATGTGACACAATTGTTTTGACTTCCTTCTCTCCGGGGTGGCAATAAGATAGTTTAAGTCCGTAATTTGTTTCACCACTACGTACGGACCAGTAAACCGAGCTTGAAATAGTGAGCCCTCCACAGGTAACAGAGCCAGCACTTGATCACCAGGCATAAATTGTCGTTTCTCAGTTCGCCGATCGTAAAGTGTCTTCATACGTCCCTGCGAGGAACACAATTGTTCTCTTGCCATCCTACCCGCTTCATACAATCTCCGCTTAAAGTCACTTACGTAACTTAACAATTCTGAGGCGGTGTACCTTCAGTCCAGTTATCGCGGAGCACAGCTAACGGTCCCGAACGGTGTGTCCAAACACAAATCATTGGACTAAAACGAGTACTTTCCTGGTCACCTCACGTGCTGACAACATCAACCACGGCAATCCCTGCTCCCAATCACCCCCCAGTTCTGTACAATAAGCACGCAGCAGGGACTTCAGCGTCTGATGGAACCGTTCAATGCCCCTTGACTTTGAGCATGATAAGCACTAGATTTATTGTGCTTAATATGCAACAGTCTCAAAACCTGCGAAAACAAATGAGACGTAAAATTAGAACCTCGATCACTTTGCACAATCTTTGGGATGCCAAAGATAGAAATGAATTGAGTCAAGGCCTTCACAACCGATTTGGCAGTGATCGTACGGAGGGATAGGCCGCAGGGTACCGAGTCGATGCACACATCACAGTGAGCAAATAAATGCTACCTGATTTTGATCTAGGCAGTGGGCCTACACAGTCAATAATCAAGTGCTCAAAAGGTGGACTAACAGCAGGTATCGGAAACAATGGAGCAGGTTTGATCTTCTGATTGGGCTTGCCTATTAGTTGACAGGTATGACACGTCTTGATATATTGAGACACATCCTTCTTCAATTTAGGCCAAAAAAAATGACGAAGGATTCTGTCATAAGTCTTTCTTACCCCAAAATGTCCAGCAAATTTATCATGGGAACTCTCCAACACCAATGATCGATATTTCTCTGGAACTACCACCTGCAAGATAGGATCGCCAGCAAAGTCACTTCCATGAGGAATCCACTTCCTCACCAACATTCCATCCTGCAAAAAATAACCTTGAGCAACATGCCTAATTTCATCAGGAGACATCAAACTCTCAAACAATGTATGGAGAGAAGGATCAAGTTTCTGCTCCTGTATCAAATCAGAAGAGGAAACAGAGAAATCATCAGGCAAGGAAAATGCTGGTCCCTCCAAAAAATCAGATGTTAACCTTGGCTGTGCAGAGGTCATGGATCGAGTTACAGCACAAGCAGTAAATACCTGTGGAAAACTCTTGTTGCTCTCATCAGGACCTGGGAGAGGAAAAGATGAAACCACAGGAGGTGAAAAGGTAACAGGCCAAACCCTCCCCCCTGCCAAATTATTTCCCAGGATGATATCCACCCCCTCCACTGGTAACGATGGACGCACTCCAACCACCACTTCTCCATTCACAAGTTCAGATGACAACCTAATTTTATGTAATGGGACAGATAGGATATTTAACCCAATTCCTCTAATAAGGACACTAGTCTCGGTATCACTCACAGAGGAAAATGGCAGCACATCCTGCAAAATAAAAGACTCTGATGCTCCCGTGTCCCTCAGTATCGTTACTGGAACATTTGTCTCTTTGCCAACCAGCGACACGTGCCCATAAGAAATAAAAGGTGCATAATCTCCATCCTTTAACTGGTTAACTGCTCTAGGAGATCCTTCAGAAGACAGGCTGACAGAATTCAACAATGGTGCCACAAAGCCTGCTGGTTTAACACAAAGACCCTTTCCTCCTTTACTCTTACTTTTAAGCACAGGGCACTCATTTTTCCAATGGCCTTTACCACGACAGTAATTACAGATCAGAGATGAATCCCTGGGCATATGATCTAATCTATCTTCAAAACTATCATCTCTTTTCCGAAACTCAAAACTACTCTTGTGCGTTAAAATATAATCATCAGCCAACTCAGCAGCTTTAGCAGTTGTTTCAGCTTTCTGCTCATTTATGTATGTTGCTATACGAGCAGGTACAGAGTTCTTAAACTGTTCAAGCACAATTAAGTTAGACAACTCTTCAAACGTGGTTACCTCAGATGCCATACACCATCGATTAAATGCAGTAGTGAGCTCTCTAGCAAACACCACATGAGCCTCCTTTTCACCCTTACACAACGTTCTAAATTTTTGTCGATAAGCTTCTGGTACCAACTCATAAGCTTTTAAAACCGCCGCTTTAACGATATCGTAATCGCTGCAGTCCGAGAGTGACAGGGCAGAAAAAACTTCTTGAGCCCTGCCTGTAAGTACACATTGTAAAAGCATGGTACGTTCCTCACTGGGCCAACCTTTTGCCTCTGCTATTCGCTCAAACAATATAAAAAATATCTGGGTCTCGCTCGTTAAACTTCGGCATCAACCTTAGATTTCCAGCAGTATCAAACACTTGAGCACCCTGCAAATCATCAGTTGAACTATTTAGTCCACTTTGCCTCATCATTCCCAAGCGACCTCTCTGCAGCTCAACATTAGTCTGTTCATTTCTAGTTTTCTCACGCTCTACTTCCAATTTCAAACGTTCCTGTTCAAGCTGCAACAACAATAATCGTTCCTGTTGTTCAAAAGTTAGAGAGCTGACATGAGGTTTAACTTGAGAGGTGGTAGCTGTATCGGACAACTCAGCCAATACGGCCTTTTTTATCAGTTTTGATTTTACTACCTCTCTAATTGTACTATCCTTTAACCTCTTATCTCCAAGTTCAATTTTGTAATGATCCGCAATCTCGAATAACTGATCTTTTGTACACGAATCAAGCAAACTTCCACAAGGAGAACTAATAAACTCTTTGACTAAATTAACGTTAGACATTTTTCCACCTAGAATTATAACTAGAAAAAAAAGTGTCTTTTTACAAACCAGAGCAGGAGGAATAAAATAGTTCCCTCTAAAAATTTAACTAACTCAACCCTAAAATCTTCATGTGGTTACTGGTGAGGGGTATTTTAAGCACCAACTCCCACTAGTACAAAGAAAAGCAACCAGCACGCTGGCGACTCACTCATACCATGGATATGCACCCGAGACAACTGCTCTACTCACGGTCGCCACACAAAAATAAAAAAAAATTACCTCACATCCACTCGTTCCAAAAGGGAACGAGCAGCTAAACCTAACCAGGGAACACAAATATTGTTAAATATTCCTCCTACAACAGGATCTGTAAAAAAAAAAAAAAAAAACACTTACCTCAAGCTCCTACAAAACAGCATGAAACAGATACAGCACTCGTTGTCAAAACAAATCCAACGCGCATTTCCTTCACCCGACGAATCCGACCTCCCAAACAATAGCGTTCAAACAAACATTCTTCCAATTTTACGTTCAGTTAATGAACGTGTCAAGTTCATTACAAAATAACCGAACGCAACCAAAACGCTTTCAAATCAGGTCGACAAATAACAGGAATTTTTAAAAGATCTAACAAACGAGCGGACGAGCCCCCACTTGTCACGCCCGGCTCGCAAGCCGTGACAACGAAGGAGACAACACGTTGGATACTTGCTCAAAAGAATAACATTTATTAAAGTAAGAATAATTAAATAAAACAAGGACAAAACGGAAAACAACAATAAAGACTTCAAAACGCAAATGGCATGAGGATGGAAGAGCACGCCCCGTCACAGCTGAAAGGAACTGCTTTTAACTGCCGGCATCAGCTCCAACACAGGTGCAACTCCTCAGTCAATGACGTCACTCACTCCAATTCCCTCCTGTAAACCAAACAGAAAGAACACACACACAACACCCAAATATAACCCATACTGGGTTCATAACAGTTCTGCTAACCCGTAACTGTCAACTTGTTCTACTAAACCGCAGCTCGTCAACTTGTTCTACTAACCTGCAACTACGTCAACTTGCTCTATTAACCTGTAATTGTGTAAATTTGTTCTAGTAATCCACAGCTCCTCAACTTGTTCTACTAACAAGCAAACCAAAAAAAAAAGCAAAAAAATGTCAATTTGTTCTACTAACCCGCAACTGTCAATTTGTTCTACTAACCCGTATCTACGTCAACTTGTTCTACTAACCCGCAATTTGTCAACTTGCTCTACTAACCCGCAATTATGTCAACTTGTTCTACTAACCTGTAACTATGTGAATTTGTTCTACTAACCTGTAGCTACGTCAACTTGTTCTACTAATCCACAACTCCTCAACTCGTTCTACTAACCTCTATGTCAACTGTAACTATGCGAATTTGTTCTACTAATCCACAACTCCTCAACTTGTTCTAATAACCTGCAACTAAGTCAACTTGTTCTACTAACCCGTATCTACTTCAACTTGTTCTACTAACCCGCAACTCGTCAACTTGCTCGACTAACCTGCAACTATGCCGACTTGTTCTAAAAACCTGCAACTACGTCAACTTGTTCTACTAACCTGAAACTACATGTCAACTTGTTCTACAAACCCACAACTCGTCAACTTGCTCTACTAACCTGCAACTATATCAACTTGATCTATTAACCTGCAACTATGTCAACTTGATCTACTAACCTGCAACTACATCAACTTGTTATACTAACCCGAAACTAGGTCAACTTGTTCTACTAACCCGCAACTCGTCAGCATGTTCTACTAAGCCATAACTACGTCAACCTGTACTAACCCGTGACTCATCAACTTGCTCTACTAACTTGCAACTACATGTCAACTTGTGCTACTAGTCCATAACTACGTCATGTGCACTGAACATGCTCAGTTGACTGTTATTTATTATTTCAAAAATATTTTTCTATTGAAATATATCTATTTTTTGTTCTACCAACCCATAATTTCGTCAACTTTTTCTACTATCTCGCAACTCGTCAACTTGTTTTACTAACCTGTAACTATGTGAATTTGTTCTACTAACCTGTAATTACGTCAACTTGTTCTACTAACCTGCAACTACATCAACTTGCTTTACTAACCTGTAACTATGTCAATTTGTTCTACTAACCTGTAATTATGACAACTTGTTCTACTAACCTGTAACTATGTCAAATTGTTCTACTAACCCACAACTTTCAACGTGTTCTGCTAACTTACAACTACATTAACTTTTTCTAATAACCTGCAATTATGTCAATTTGTTCTACTAAACCACAACTTTCAACTTGTTCTACTAACCTGTAACTACGTCAACTTGTTCTACTAACCCGGTATCTTCGTCCACTTGTTCTACTAACCTGCAACTTGTCAACTTGTTCTACTGAACTGTAACTACATCAGTTTGTTTAACTAACCTGCAACTATGTCAATTTGTTCTAATAACCCACAACTTTCAACTTGTTCCACTGTCTTGCAACTACGTTAACTTGTTCTAATAACCTGCAATTATGTCAGTTTGTTCTACTAACTCACAACTTTAAACTTGTTCTACTAACCTGTAACTACGTCAATTTGTTCAACTAACTTGCAATTATGTCAATTTGTTCTACTAACCTGCAACTACATCAACTTGTTCTACTAACCCGTATCAGCTTGTTTTGCTAACCCGCAACTCGTCAACTTGCTCTACTAACCTGAAACTATGTCAACTTGTTCTACTAACCCACAACTATGTCAGCTTTGTTCTACTAACCTGCAACTTTGTTAAATTGTTCTAAAAACCTGCAACTACCTTAACTTGTTCTACTAACCTGCAACTACGTCAACTTGTTCTACTAACCTGCAACTACCTCAACTTGTTCTACTAACCTGCAACTACGTCAACTTGTTCTACTAACCCGTATCTACGTCAATTTGCTCTACTAACCTGAAACTATGTCAACTTGTTCTACTAACCTGCAACTTTCTCAACTTGTTCAAAAACCTGCAACTATTTCAACTTGTTCTACTAACCTGCAACTCTGTCAACTTGTTCTACTAACCTGCAACTACCTCAACTTGTTCTAAAATCCTGCAACTACATCAACTTGTTCTACTAATCCGCAACACATCAACTTGTTCTACTAACCCGTAACTACATCTTCTTGTACTAACCCGTAAATCTTCAACTTGCTCTACTAACCCGTAACGACGTCATATTGTACTAACCCGTATCTTCAACTTGCTCTACTAACCTGCAACTACGTGTCAACTTGTTCTACTAGTCCATAACTACTTCATATGCACTGAACGTGCACAGTTGACTGTTATTTATTATTTAAGAATATTTTATATCTATTTATTCTATCTATCTATTTTTATTTTTATAACAATCATTTATATTACTATTTATATTGTTATTTAGTTTATATTTGTCTCTGAATTGACAATAATACTTGATTTATTATTAACCTGTAATGTAATTTCACCCTTGTTGATGCATCATAAAGTATAATAATGGTTCAGTATTTCATTTTTTATTTTTTTTATTATTTTTTCTATGAACGGGAAATCTAATAGATTAGTTCTCCCAAATCTACCACCACTCTACAACATATCTTGTTCTGTGTTCTTCTGTTGTGTTTTGTGAAAGAAAGTCATACATGTTTGGAACAGTGAGTAAATTATGACATACTTATCATTTTTGGTTGAACTGATCCTCAGAACCTGTTTCGTGCTGCATCTAAAAAACATGTTGATGTTGAGAAAATGTTCCTGATTAGATAATCATATTTCTTTCTTTATAGACCCATCTCTGCACTAGATTACTTTATTTCAGTTTGCATATAATTTATCTACCAGCCAAGACTGTATTTGTGTTTCCTTTCACTGTGTCTCCATGGAAATAATTGCGACAGAAATGTTACATATGCCAGCTGTCACTTGAAAAGGAGGTCAAATCAGATAAATACGCTTCTTTGAAGTTAGTGCTCAAAAGACCAAGATGTTCTAGGAGAGAGAAAAAGCTGTTATTTCTGAAAAGTGACCAATAAATATGCTGTTTGAAGTCATTTCCCTATCTTAACTCGAACGATTAACGGGCGGAACGACTGAGAAAGAAGATGGAGAAAGAGTTCCTGCAAAACTCCCAAGGAATTACTGTCACTTATGCCTTTTCCGTTGTCAAGCCCAGGGTGTGTCGGGCTAATTCAGTAGCAGCAAGACTTTATGTCTGATGTCAGGTGGCATCATTGTCATTTCGGCAGAACCCCTGTACGGCCATTAAAATGACACTTTCCCCACATAATGCAAGTCCCACAAATGGGATGTATTAAGAGATAATGAACATCCGTCTCCCCGAACACACATTCTGCTGATGCAAGCCAACTTGCACTGTCTCTGCGGGCTTGCTTAACCCAATCCAACCTACACTCTGGCTTGTGGAGTGACATTCCTAAATGCCAACATAGTGCCATGGGAGCATCAGGGGGAAATAATGATGG